TATACTTATGCCCAACATGATGTTTTGAATCTCGTTGATCTTGAATTTAACTTCGCTAACTAGGTTTAACTAATCAACTTTATCTATCTTGACCAACTAGATCTTTGTCTAGTGGAGACGGGCGCTATAGAGTGTGAGGATCCTGAAATTTCGTCAATCTTTACATTGTGACCTATCAAACAGTGAAATCGATTATATTATATTTTTTAACTTGTGGACTCTTATATTTTTAACATGCCAATTATTCTTTTCTTGTTGGAGTTTTTTTATTGCTGGAGATATTCCTCTTATTATCGTTGGATGCTTGACTGTGGACGAAACCAAATTATTTAATGACATCACAAAAATTATTTCTAGGTGCCAACAACCTTTCAAAAGATAGTTAACACTGCTAAGTTTTAGAAGCGAAAGAAGTCCCTTTTTACCCTATTTAGTTCATATCTAATCCTTCGTGTGTAGGAAAATTCTGTGTAGGCTTCTTGCAGCGATTTCCTTTTAGTAACCTTAACTATAAGGAGCATAATTATGGTATAAGTTAAGCTATTATTCTACCTTTCTACCTTAAAAGACGTTTTATGCGTCTGGATTTAATTTTTAGCCAATATATCTATCTTCCTTTTCCTTTTTTTTACTCTCTAAGTTGTGTACTCATTTATCTAGGGCACTCGGGATCTGTCAACTCAGTACGCTTTCGTGAGACTGATGGTCTGATGTTGACTTCGGCTGGAGACGGAACAGCCCATCTCATTCGCCTGCCTTACGACCTTCTTGAACTAGGCACTGTCGCTTCAATGGAGGCTGCCACCAGCGCCCTGAACGTCGGAGTTGCTGGCGCCCCTTCCCTTTCAGCATGTGTTGTCAACTTGACTGCCAACAGTAAGCTTAATTTGTTGAGGCAACTAGTACGACTAGTATTCCTACTTATATTCTAAAAATTTATAAGGATTTTCCCTAAAAGAGGACATCCATTAGATCACATGTATTCATAAAAGCCAATGCTCGGGACCTATTTTTATATTTAGACCGGATAAATAATTAAGCTAAAACCTGCATAAATGAAAATGCAGACTACTTTCTTCTAATCTTTTTTAATAATTAATATCTTTGTATTAAGTTTGCGGACTTTTTAACTAATGAGCTATATTGTCTATGTTATGCATATGGCTTTAAATTTCCACATTTCACTCCTCGACGATTTCTATGGATCTGCGTACAGAGTTACCTTATTTATAGAAGTCGTTCCCCGTTTCTGCAATCTAATGAGGAAGTGTCATTCGGACACAGTTAATGAAATAATTTATCACGCCTCCATCCAGAAATTAGAGGAAAGTTACGAGACTGAGAGGCGTAAGCTATTTAAGTTTATAGATCTCAAGTCTAGATTAAGGAAGGATCTTGATATGGTTCTCACTTTGGATGATTTTTAAAAACTCCAGAGCATGACGGACCAGAGGTCACAGAGGGTTAGGGATCTGATAAATAAGCGGCATGATAAGAAATTGCTTAATTATGGGATAATAAGACAGAGCAAGACCAAGTCAACCCGGGCAAATTTTAATGGTTCTTTATCAAAGGCATCAACTGTTACAGACGACGATAGGACAAAGTT